ATGCAAGAAATGAAATGGACTGATAAGGAGTTCAATTCACTTAGGGTTCCCTCACATCTGCACTTTGAAAAAAACGACAAGATTTCAAAGAATAGTTTCAGTGTGATGAAGGTGTCCCACAGAAGATGCTTTCATAGCATAGCTGGTAAAATGCACCCAAAATGCTATATATATGATTTTGGGGGAAAACCAACAAAGTGCATCACATATAACTGCATAGATTTAAGTAGACCTAAAGTGAAACAATCCCCAGTATTACTCCATTAAAAATGGAAATCTGAGGTATACAAATACTTTCCCTCTATAGTCAGTGCCTCTGCCTCACACAGAGGCAATCTATGGCTTAAAGAGCATAAAGTAGAGATGCAGTGACTGACGTGAATCCTGCTCCAGAAGAGGCATTATTATTTGAGGAGTCAAATTGTATATATTTTTTTTTTACTTTAAGTCAACTGTAATGCTAGCAATCAATTAAATCCATTACTAATATTCTGACCCTAAAGTAGATGGTAGGATCAGATTAGCTGGGTCACCATGCAAAGAAATGATCTTATCAATATTGATCTAGTCATTAGGATGCAAATATTGGCTTGACTTACACTTTAAATTCTGATCTATTTAATCCATTGAACCTTTGATGCTGCTAAAGCTTCACATGTGCTGTTTGTCCCATGACTCTGAGCTGTTGTTTCTTTTTAGCTATGTGACAGACAGCAAGCTACTTGGAAATACCCTGCTTGAATTTTCACACAGGTGAGCAACTGGTGTCTTCAGATCACCATATTATTGGCAAGAGCTGATTGTGAGCAGTGGAGTGGTCTGATGCAATACTGCTAGACATGGATGGAAAACAGAAACCTTGGACAGGTGGACTATTGTTCATTTATGTATTTCAAGGCTTAGCTTTCATTTTCAACCGGAAATCAAAGCCTGAGCTTGAGGTATGAAATAAATGACAACATACTGCCATAAAAAACATAGAGCTTCATTAAGTGGCCACATAGGATCCTGATGCTCAGCTCGTCTGATGCTCCAATACATTCTCTAGCACTTAGATAGATCATTTTTAACAGATGAATTCAACTGAAAAAGTCCAGTTCTCACCAGCTAAAAAGGAAAAAAGAGGTATCTCCACTTTGATGTTTCCCTAGTAAGTCATATTAATATCTGTCTATAATATCTACAATAAACGATCCTCACACTAAAACATATCCCATAATTCAGGCAAAGTTGCCTAATCTATTGGATTTTATTAAGTGGAAGAGTTTATTTTATTTGAATAGGGCAGGGAATAACTTTAGAAAATGTTTTTAAAGATGTCTGTGTCCCTGTTGAGATTTCTCCTTATTTACTATCTCAGTATTAACAGAGAAAGTGAAATGTTACATAACATAAAAGTTACATAACAGGGCCTCAAACAACAAACCTGGCCCTCAATAAGACTGTAATATTAGGCCTTCAAGGTACAGTTCAGAAACAACAAGTATCAGTTAGGAGTCTGCTCTCTTTGAGAAACAAGTATCTCCTAAAAAATATGCCATTATTGTGTCCAAGGTACATATAACATACCATGATAGAATCACAATATCTCTGGCAACAAAAAAGGGATTAGCTATGTCTATTCAGGCTAGTTTAATAGCCAAACAAACCCTGTGTGTTGTTGTAGGATTCTGATAAATAACACGACAGCTGCCAATTTTCAAAGTGTCATTTGGTAATGGGAGATTGCCATGGGAACTGTATCCTGGGGTATCTTGTCCTATACAAACCATCCTAGGCATGTCACAGGCAAATTCCAGGGTAAAGGGATAAAAAAAAATGAACATGGACACAAGTTCTGCAGGTTTAGGGAAGCGAGTTTCCAGTTGTAATTTCCTGTCGGGGTCGCTCTGAGATTTCCATCCTTTTGCCATCATTTTGTATCATGTAGACAATATGCTTCAGGTCAAGACTACGGGTCAACACATCCAGGAGAAGCTCATCTTTCTGAACACCTTCAATAAATTCCTCCAAAGATAATTCACCTAATGAGAAAAGTTGGACATGAGATACATGGATAATCAAATTATTCAGCAAATAATTTAATGGAAATCACTGCAAACAAATCCAAAGTGATTAGTTGTAGCCATGGGATAATAATGAAGTAATGCAGATGCTTAGAAATACTTAGAAGCTAAGATCTTAGAAGCTTATATCTGTGACCTGTTCAAATTTCCTAACAGAAATAAAAGATTTTCAAGATCAAGCTTAAAATGATTATTAAGAGCAGCCTGAATTTGTGGCATCATTTCATGATTTCTGGTGAGCCAATGAAAAGGTAAGGAAACTTTCAAGAAAGGTTCTTCACCCATATGCCCCCGGCCTTTTTAGCTGAGGTATTCAACTGGGGTTCTGTTGAGCATTTGTAGACACTGGGATGAAAAAAATGGATGCGGGCCTTGGTGGCAAGAACTTAATTAGTATGGAGTTTCTCCTGCTCCGATGGATAAGGGCAAAAGGGAAAGGTTTGAACCTTTTTCTTAACTTTTACTTTTATTAACTGCTTTAATGTTTGAGAATACACTAGTGGATGTTCTTGCACTGATAAACATGTACAATATCATGTACATCCTGTTACCAAGCTGACAGTGATGAGCTTATAGTACACTGTTTTGTGTTAAAGATATCTCTCTTGTTATGGAACCATTAGGGCAGTAAATGAGGCAGTCAAAATGGGGCCTAGAAAAAAAAAACACTGCAATGGGGTACAGACAAAATCTATAATTACTATATGCAATTTAACAGTTAGTCCAGCAGAGGGAACTTTTTCAGTACTGTGCTTTGTCTGTTTTCATTTTCTTTGTCAAAGTGCTGCGCTACTCAAAGAATAACTAAGTAACAAAAAGTGCCAAAACAATATAGAATTCCTCTAAAGTGCATATGCGAATAAACTACATATAAATAATGTCTACAAATAGTAAGTCAAAAAGTCCAGAAATAATAATTATTTCTGGACTTTTTGACTTACTATTTGTGGACATTATTTTGTATGTGTGGTTTATTCACTTATGATGCACTTTGGATGAATTCTTTATTTGTTTTACACTTTTTGGTTATTTACATATACTTTCTGAGTAGTGTAGAACTTTATACATGAATTATTGTTGACCGTTGGTGTCTAATGGCATGCTGGCAGCTGGATCTTTCTTTTGTTGCCCATTAATGCAGCTTCACATTGGTTTAAGTTGTCTAATTCTGTGCATAATGCTATACACTGGGATTGTGGATGCACACTGAAGAGGAGAGCCGTGTTTCATGACATCAGCTTGGCTTCCCATTCTACTGAACCCGGTCACTGATAAATATACTTTGCCCTTCAAAAACAAATTTTAAAGCCCACTTCTGAATGTGTTATTGCGGTAAGGCAGACTACCAATAGGCATAGACAGTCCTCGCCAAAGGCAGGCTATCAATAGACATAGACACAGTCCTCGTCAGACTTGCAAAGGGTCTTTAAATGTTTTGACTTGTAAAGGCACATTTTTCCAGAATATTTTATGTCTAAAGCCAGCCTCATACACTGTAATTTTTATAACTTCTGTTTATTCTCTATTAGAATTGTCAGTAACTATGTTGTTCGAAGACCTACCTAAACAAACCATTCAATTTGTATTCAGTCAGGTAGGCCCAGACACTACATAGATTGTATAGATTATATAGCCAGCTTGATGGTAACTAAAGGGTTTACATACATTTTACAAGAATTACAGAGATAGTGAAACTTCTATTTAAGATACTTAATGTATACAAAAGAGTTCAAAGAATACTCACCATCCCCATTGATGTCTATTTTATCAAAAACCATATCAGTGAATTCTTCCGCAGTCATATCATCATTACATCTGTTAATAGCCCGAATGGCCTGAAAGAAATTGAAATATTTTTCAACAATCAAAAATGGTAGTGTTAGCTAAACATATTCTTTATTACAATAGTTAAGTCTAAAGTGTTTCAAGAAGCTTCTCTGACAGTTTATATTTAAATCCAATATACTTCACCTGTATCCATTTTGATGTCTCACATCTAATCTATGTTTCCAATAATGGAAGATGTTATTAGAATGTCAACATTTTTGCATATATGAATGTTTGATATCTCTGACTCTTTTGTTTGTTAAACCTAATTGCTGTAGTGACTGTAGTTTGCTTCCCGTGAAACCAGAAATATTGCTGAAGGCACATGCCAGCAAAGTAAACAATGTTACAAGTAGTTTAGAAAAACACTATTGCACTAAGTGGGTAGTTGTTTATCCATATTGGAGAAGTTCAAGATGCAGATTAAATCTTGCTTTGTAAATGAATGCGATTCAGTTGAACATTAAACACTTTTATAGTTGTATTATCAGTCTTCGGTATGGTCTACAGTTTCATCCACTCTTGTAGCTAGGGATTCCAACCATCCCACATGTGAATACATGTGATAGGATTGTGGTTTGGTGGATTATCGGCTTAAATTTAAAGAAGAAAGCCACAACCTTATCTTCCAGAAGATCAGACATGGTTGATATTCATTGAGGTTGTTGCTGTAAAGATCACTACTGCAACACCAATTCATTAAGCTCTAGGAGTCACTTCACAATAATTCCTAATTTTACCTAATGTCCAAGTCATGAAATCAATTTTGGAATTATTGCACATGAAATAAACATTACCATTAAAATCCTTTAATGTTGTTATGTTATTTTCACCTGGAATGCTTCCATTAAATTGTTCTCTTCAATACACATGTCACAAAAGCATACTGCTAATACTGCCTCGTTATATTTTTAGGAGCAAATACCAGCATGACAATCTTTTTGAATTAACTTTTATATACAGAATACTATAAAAATGTATAGTATAACAATTAATACATTAACTAGGGATTAACTAGAGAGGTAACTGGGGAAGGGGGGCTAACTGTTCAATACTGCAATATAAATATGTTTTCAAGGTTAAATAAAATTTCCCAGAAATTCTTACCTTAATTATATTGAGAAGCTCTCCTCTGTCAATACAGCCATTTCCATCGACATCATATAACTTAAAGTACCACCTCAGCTTCTGCTCCACTTTCCCCTTCAGGACCAAGCTCAGAGCTGCCACATACTCCATGAAATCCATGTAACCATCCTGGAAAAAGGGAACATCTATAAATGTATGAATGTTTCATTTCCACAGTTCTGTTATGTAATGTACGATTCATGCTAAATACTATTTGAAGACAGTTATCCTGAACCAAAGCTGTGCTTAAAAAAATATAACTATAATATTATTAAAATTTAACTGATTAATTATTATAGCATCTATTGTGACACTTAAAATTCTATCGAACTTGTATCTGCAAAATAAGCACCATGAGATGCTTGAACATAATTTTAGCAATCTGTAGGAGTACCTTGGGAACCATAACAATCCCCACTATGTATATGTGCAGCCAACATTCAATATTTTCAGATGCACTTCCTAGGTTTAAAAAATTTGGGGCTGACTGTAATAATTACAAATTTAATTTAAATCACAAATGTATTCAAATCAGAATTATTGAACAAACTTGAAAACTGAATTAATTTCTCAATGGGCCCAAACTACTATTGCATTATGTGATGTCTTCCCAATGATAAATTAAAAAAATGCATTAGTTAATTTCGCTATAACTTTTCTCAGATTCGTTGACATATGTTACTATGTCTTTACCGGTACATCTGAATTTCTGAAAATCAAATGTTCTCTAAAAGTTGAATTGTTACTAAACTAGGCGCACATGTCTACTCTATCAACACTTCAGGTTTTGCTTTACTTGCTTGCCTGGCAAAGCCGTTTTCACCAGGAGTATTTAAAACTAGAAAACAAAGTTTTTGCTGGATATATACCATAATCAAAGCTTATCCCTTCCCCTTCTTGCCTTCTGCATCTTACAATTGATCATGGAAACTATCAATCACACGCATGGGTAAAAAAAAAATGGTAATGATTAACCACTGTTTGATTTTCTTGTATATTTGTTTGCAGATTAGACTGATCTGTAGATAAGTTTTAGAACTAAGGAATACAATCATTTGTGATTCAATAATTGTATGATTCTATTTAGATTACATATATCTGCCTGCAGATGTTCAGTCCAGTATAAGAGAAAACACATTTCACCTGGTATTCAAGTCAGGGGCGGACTGACCATTTGGAAACTCGGGCACTGCCCGAGGGCCCGGGGTCAGTAGGGGGGTCCCATGAGATGCCCCTGGTACCATTTTCATAGGCTTTTTTGAGTTTGGGCAAGGACATGGGGCCCCATGATCCCCTATTGTTCCTTAAGCTGGTGTAGTACCCCTGTTTGACGCTAGATGTCGGTGGAGGTTGCATTGTTGCACAGACCACAGGGTGACGTACTTCCGGTTCCGGGTTCGGACGCCATCTTGGTACACCTGAGTATACCCATAGCACATGGGAACTGCTTCTCTCTGTTTGAGTACATGTGAGTGCGTTTTTGTCATTTTACCTTGTGTGCATTAAAATAGTGTTGCACTATGGAGGTCTGCTCTTCTCTTGCATATGCGCCCTGTTTGTGAGGGAAGGTATTTGAGAGGAAACCATAGCTTGGAGGAGGATCTTGATTTAAGTCGGTGGAGGCAGTGGAGTATCAATATCCTGGCAGAGATATATATTATATATACAAAGCCTTGTGACCCGCAAGGGTCGAATATTGAAGGTGAGGGGGCACTTTGGCTATTTATGAGGGGAGTCACTTCAAGAGTCACGAAGAGCACAATGGCAACATGGAGTGAAATCATTACCACAGCGTATTGAACACTTTTATTATTTTACACAGTGTGGCATCACTAATAATAATTTTTGGATTTGATTTTGCATTATATTTTGTTTAATATTTGTCACTTTGCACAGTCTAAGAGTCATTCTGTTGAATATCACTATTTATCACTAGGGGGTGTATAATTTACGTGGGGGATTTTGCACTATATATGTTTGTAGATTGATTATAATTTTGAAGGATATAAGTTGAGCGCTTCATCATTTATATTAAATGGTCAAATGATTATGGAAACCTGACTATCACACAAACCACATGGCTAAATCCATAGGTGCCCCAGAGAAAGCTGCTTGCCCTGGGGGGGATTCACTATGTGATCGCTTCCAAGCCACTGTTCTATGTGTCCAAACGACACACAGAGCTGTGGCCCGGCCCCGCCCCCTCTCTCTCCTCATTGGCTCACTGGCTGTTATTGACAGCAGTGGGAGCCAATGAGGAGGGAGAGTCCCCATACAGGTGAGGCTATAGTAAACATCGATGGATCAGAGGGGGCTCAGGTAAGGATTGGGGGGCTGGGTGGGCTGCTGCACAGAGAAGGTTTTTTACCTTCATGCATAGACTGCAAGATGGTAAAAACCTTGAGCCTTTACAACCACTTTAAGACAAATGTGCACTTCCAATCTTGAGGCAACAGTTTAGACATGCTCTTTTACAGCACGGCTATTTTCTCTGTGTTCAAAGCCAGGTCCATAAAGACATGGTATTATGAGTTTGGTGTGGTGGAGCTCGAGAGGTCTATACATAGTTGTGGCCTCAACCCCTATCTTTGGGATGTATTGGCATGCCAGTTATGACCCATGTGTCCCAATCCAACATCAGTACCTGATCTAGCGTGTCTGAATTGACACAAATTCCCAAGGACACACTTTAAAAACCTGTGGAAAAGTGGAGACAGCTATAGCTGCAATTCGGGGACCAAATCTATATTCATGCTTATAGTTTTGGAATAGATATCCAACAAGCTCATATACTAGGTGTTATGGCCAGGTGTATACAAACTTTATAGTTGATGTAACAGTACACCATACAAAAGATGACCCTGTATGATATAATTATGCCAATCATGTGAAAAGTTGATTTTTGGACTCCTATTTCCCTACTACATTTTTCTGTAATGTCTGTTTTCATGCTAAATACAGTACTCTTACTGATGCTACCTACACCCATCAAATTTAACTAGTTCTGTTTTTGACATTTTTTAATATATCAAATTATCACTGTAGATAATTTGGTGCAAAAAGTCACTTCTGTAAATTTCTAGTCAATAGTACAAAGCATTAGTGCAGATTAGAAATCTGTCAGTATGTACAAATCCAGGTCATACAAGAACAGATCTTTATGTCAAAATTTTACAAACATCTTAGCATTTCCCACTTCCTTGATCAGCATTTGTATAATTTAACCTACTGCCAAAATTCTTCTACCTCTAGGGCACCATTTTGCTGATAAATAGACATTAAATTGTTTATTTGGAAGACTGTGAAAAAAGTTCTGTTGTACTTTACACCATAGTAATCAACCATATTTCACTTTTTTAAATTAATTTAGCATAGTCAAAACAATGATAGTTTCTGGCTGATTTGTTGCTATGGGTTACTTTATTGAGATGGTGCTCTTTGCATCTATGATTGCTATGATGACTGCTACTAAAATTTGAAAAAACTGTATATTTTGACAACTTAGCTGAAATGTTGTATTCCATCTCATTCTTTTATACCTTATTAGATATTGTACATCTTTGTGAAGGCTAGTGCTCACTAACTATGCTCTGATGGGCCAGTTTATCTTTGACATCTAATAATGGATGCATGTATAGCTAGAACTACCTATGTGTATAGATCTTTCTGAGCATCCCATTTTATAATTTATACTCCCATTTTAAACTCTTTTTTTGTGGGACAGAAGTTTAAAACAGAAACAGCTTTGCTGTATTTTATTGACAAGAGTGTTCTAAAATTATCCATGCAGGCATACTGTAGAACCTAGCAGTACTTGCATTTAAATATCCATCCTATTTCTTTATAGTTATATAGAATACAATCTGTAGATTTTATATCATTTTATGATTAAGGCATATGGCTCCATTGTTTTATGACTGTGATTAAAACCTTTTTCGAGCTAAAGCATCACAGTAGGTCACAATATATGTATACATATATGGATTTAAACCTTTCCATTTGTGCTTATGTGTTTCTAAGTAGTTATGAGTGAATTGATTTAAAATCATGTTATTTGGAAAAATTATACATATTTATATTCTCTTTAAAATACTTGTGTGCATAAGAATTAAATTTCAACCATACAATACATGAATCACGAGTTATTGGATTCCTAGTGTATATGCTTTACTGCAGATCGACAGAACCACATGGAAATATTTCAGCAAAATAATAATTGGCAATCAATAAATCTCTAGATCTGTTCATCACTATTTACTATATACATGTAGGAAAAATGTAAAAATTGTATTTTGAATCCATTTACATAGTAAGGATTTTTGGTTGCTTTTTACATGTAATTTCAAAGTTTACATGTACAATACTATTTTTATATTATAATAAATACAAATAGGGATTGCTTTGTATTTGAAAGTCTGTTTAAATGTGAAACTAAAACCTACTGTAGCATAGTATATATAGTATCTGAGCAGAATCTGTATCATTTGTTATGGCAATCTACATTCTTTGTCAGACAAACTAGTTGTACCACTCAAAGTTATATGACCTAAATAAACAAAACTAAGCAGAGGTATTCAATATATTGTGGAATGTCATACACAGTTGTATATAATTTACCTTGTTAAAGTCAAACGTGTCAAACATTTCTTCAATGTATTCGTTAGATGCCGGGCTGAGGTTCTTGAGGCCGAAGAATTGCTTAAATTCATGTTGAGTAAGTTGACCAGATGGACACTCTGTCATAAATTTTTTATACCATCGGTGAATTTCTGTAGCACTTAGTTCCTCAACAGTTTTTCCATCCATGTTCCCCATTTTCCTTTGTTCGTAAAAGACACTTATAAAAATCTGAAAGTTTCTTTTCAATCTTTATAAAGAATAAAAAATTTAATCAGTTTTATGAAGACAAAAAGCTAATCAAGCTAATAAAGCTTTTCAATAAATTGAGGTCCCAAATTCTTTGAATAGATGCTTTGTAAATAATGATGTACAGCTTCAGATATTCCAGTGTGTGCTCTTCAAAGGTCTAAGCACAAAGTCATTGTTAGGTCAAAAAATATCCTTTTTTGAGAAGCGGAGGAAGTCACTGCTGACCAATCAGTCTTAGCTAGGGAAACCCCTCGTGTCCACACAGGTGGGAAAAACAGGAGGGGAAACAAACATACATAGAAAAAAAAAAAAAACTTGGAAACTATCTCTAGTGATTAAGGAGAAACAAGATTAAAGGAGGTGGTGTAAGATGCCACTCAAAAGATTTGTAATCTTTTAATCGGGATCTGGCTCTGACATTGCTAATGTCCTACGAAAGCACTATCTATAGCATTGGATAAAATTAGCACTGCTTCATTCTCTGCCTTGACAATGATTAATAAAATGGCTTCACTGGTTTGAAGCCAAGACTTACATAAGCTACACAATGTGCAGGCTGATTTGTAGCCACACTACGCACTTTAATGTTTAAAACTTAATTCAGAGAGAGCATAGGACTTCAAGAGGAGGAAAATAGTTACAAAATTAATCAAGTTGATAGTAATTTCATGTTAACTAATAAAATGCTTTTCTACTTTATTTATAGATACAGAGGAAGGCAGATTTAACTAAAGAAGAAATCTGCTGTACTGACTAGATCATTCCATAGATATTGTAGCACTACTATTGTTTGTTGAGTGGTACTGGTCAACTTTTGAACCTAAAATACTAAATCATAGTTTAAAGTTCTTGACATGCAATTCATTAGATATTTGAAAACTGAATGAGCATTAAAGTCTATGTAAACCCCAACAATACACTTCTTATATATCATTGGAAGCATTTTACTACATCTGTGCCATATATGCAAAAAGTGTTGATTCTGCCAGAAAACTACTGCATCAGTAACTTTTCCTGCTCTCTGCCTCACTTCTTGTCCTAGGGTGGCAAAAACTGCTCTTTCATAGAAACAGTGGAGGAGTGAGGATCGAGTGTTATTTGCATCAGTATTACCAGGTTCAAATAAAGGAAACAAAACCTGAAAAAAATAAATGGAGCCAACTGATCACTGGTAAGCTGCAGCATATTGTACTTGTATTCTTGAGTTTAGATAGACTTTTGGAACCCAAAGGATGCGTGTGCATCTTTGAACTGCATGTACAGTAGGCAACTCTTAGAAGTGGATGCACATGAAGCAGCTGCATGGACACAATCGCATGAGCCCTATTAGACTGTCTATACCCAAGGAAATGTTTTATCAGATCTATCCTCCTGTAATTCTGAGGGCCAAAAGTTCAAACCAGAACTTTTTGTTTACCAACTAATACATTATTTAAAACATCCAAAGAAAGGAGCAAGTGCCGCTCATCAAAGTCAACATTTGACAGTTTATTTTTTTTACAGGATATTACAAACACATTCCCCTGTCATGTTTTATTCTTATATCATATGATCATATTCTATTGCACCTGGGACTTAATGTGCCAGCACACACAAATTACAAATAACCCATACAAACATTTTTATAAATATAACAAAGTATGCTTTATTTGGTACAAACATAAAAATGGCCAAAAACACACACGTAGGATGTAATATTCATTAATACTTTAAAAACCATCAGATAAAGGTTATACATCCTCTGGATATAGAACACCATCAGTGTATATCATTATGAAGTGCTAGTCAAATTATGTTCATATGATGTGTCAATGTATAAAAAGAAATCTGTTCCGCTGCAGGCTTCACCTTCCACTCTACTCATTTGGCATCAAGAGCAGATTTCCCACAGTCATGAAATGCTTCACATCCAACACTTCTGTCCTCAAAAGAAAGAGGAGGGAAGCTAACTATAAAGCCATGGGTAAAATTACTGAAGCGAATCAATGTACAGACAAGTCAGGTGCAACGAACGCTAAGGTATTTCATAACTGGAGCTTAATCTTATATATTGATGCAGCCCTTATATCCAGATATAACAAGAACACCTGTGTCTCTGAGCTTGCTTCTATAAAGTGGATGGTTCCCGTAGTTGACTTCCCAATAATGCTCAATGGAATCAAAACACTAATGCCACACCACAGTCTTTAATTATAATTATATCAACAACGTTTCATGGTGAAAATTAATTGAACAACAAGGTACATTGTAAAAATTGTATGTAACGTCCTAAAAAAATAATGTAACTAATTTAAATGGACTAGAGTAAGCCACAGCCCTCATAGTTGTTAATGAAGCAGCTAGGATGATATTATCCATATTCTCATATTTGGAATTCTTAATAACCAAAGCACATAAATTAAATATGTTAACATATACTCGTACTTCAATGTATGCATTACTACAAGAAATGCAAACTTCATGGTTGAGCCTATTCAGTTCATGAGTCCAGCCTACTTTATAATAGAACCATCCATCCAGGTTATTGATCTACTTTAGGATCATCATACTTTTTCCCAAAAATGTTTTTGTATAAAACCATAGGACAATCTATCCAACGTAGAACATATGAACTAGATAAGGACATTTTTTTGACACTTCTTATTCAATGCCCTCAATAGCAAGGCTTTTTATGTGAATGCTCAAAATCAAATCAAAGAAGGGGAAGTAAAAGAATTATTAATCTTGGATTTTATGGTGAGTGTTCATATGACAAATTGACGTGTTTTACAGTTCAAATGACTGTCGCTTCTTTAGGACCACAGGAAAGTTTTTTGATGTATGCTGTATGCTCACTGTGTAGATACTGTATATTGGACCTCCTCTTCTGTTATGCTGAGGGTTAGGGATCTTTTTTCACTTTACTACTGATCAGTATAGCATTCATTTTCTTGTTTTCTTGCCACGTAGGTGGGTTTCATTGCAAACTAAATTTCCACTTAGCTTTGTGAAAAGTAAAAATGCGATTTACAAAGCAAACTCAATGACATGCAAGATAAAAAAAACAGGATTTTTGCTTGCACATGATTGGATGATTAGAGTCAGCCCAAATTCACCTCAATCACACAGCTAAGTGAAAATTCACTTTGCCACTTGAGCAGCCTTTACTTCTATAATGGAAAACTAGAGAAATTCATAGATATGATGCAACAGTATGGGTTTTTTATCTAACCTACAATGTTTTGCGCCCTAACACTGCCACTCTTATTACAATGTGCCAGCAGGCCGGTCACTACATATTCTGTTTTCAACTCTTTAAAAAAGAAGCATCCATTGTATTATGGATATAATTTGTTTTTGCATTTTCAAAAAAAAGATATAGTTTACCCGATGGCAAAGATAGCATGAAGTTAGAAAAGAATAGAATGAAATAGAAATTCTTTATTATGATTGTACAAAAAATACAATGAATAAATGCCAATTCTGAAAATGAATTAGGAAGAGTGGCTAATTTGCTGAATTTTTAAGGATGAGGTGGGATGCACTTTGCTTATTACAAAGGAAGCTTACTATATATTTTGTCAACTTTGTGTATGTCTAGTTGTGACAAAACCTGTGTACATTCAAGATTACGCTTAAAGAAAATGTTGCTACATTATTTTTCTGTACCTACAGCATCAGCTCTGTATGAGTTTGATCCCTTGAATCCAGCTCTGAAGCTTTACTTTTTGCTGCAGTTATTTGCTATCTCAATTCCACAAAGCAGTGAAAAACACAAAGCTAATCACAGATAATAATCTAATATCTCTCTATGACTATGATGGCATTTTTTAAAAATGTCATTATCTTTACTACTTTCCAACCTATTTTGTTATATGTCAAAGGAATACATCTCTAAGCTTCTTAGAGTACAGAAACAATGATGTTAAATAATTCAAACTATTTGTTATGAAAGATAAAACTTTTAGCATTTATTCATCATTTTTCAAGCTAAGTATGTGTACCTAATTTAGAATTATTATAGGCACATTGAAATTGACTAAAGGCAATTAGACTGTTACCTTTGCAAGAGAAGTCACACCTTGCAAGGGAATTTTCCCCAGAGTTTATTCAATAGGTGCAGCTCTGCTGACTTCCATCATCCAATCGCATGCAAGAGATGAAATATTTTTGTATTTGTAGTTTTTTGCGAAGTACATTTTCACCACATTTACTAAGCTCTAGGGAAAATTCCTTCCCTCTTGGGAAAATTCCTTCCTTGCAAATTGTAAATTTCCTTGCAATTGCCTGTTTGTCTTTAACATATCAGCCCCTTCCGGTTCTTAACTAGCTCTCTCTCAGAATGAATGTTTCCATCACAGGCCAGTATTGATGGAATTTGTAGATATTGATATATACAAACATGTAGTGTATAGAATTATTATAGGCAGATTGAAATTGATTTACTAAAGGCAACTAGACTGTTCCCTTTGCAAGTGAACTCACACCTTGCAAGGGAATTTTCCCCAGAGCTTATTCAATAGGTGCAGCTCTGCTGACTTCCATCATCCAAGCCGAGGAGCAAGCTTCTGCTGGTGTTCTGCACACATTGAAAGGGCTGATGGGACACTAGCTTTCTCCAAAAGATTCTTAAAACAAGCAAGAAGAAAGCAAGGAGAAAGGATCTTCTATATTCTGCACCATCACTGTGGATAGGGATTAAAGGAATATTCCAATAACTAACTTGTACATTGGATTACGGAAGGAGAAATGAGAGAACAGTAGTCTGTATGGAGGATCTCGGGGAAAATTAAACCATCTTACATCAGTACTTTCAGGAACAAAATGACGGGTCAGCCTAGCAGTGTGTTTTAGTTATGTGTCATAAACATTTAAAGTTTCATGGTATGCTTGAACTTAAAAAAAGTTTAGAAACAACTATCCTAAACCTAACTCCTAAACTTAACCTTGAAGTGTACTTAAAGCCT